ATGTGCTAGTAATTCAATGTTATGCCTCCAATTTAACTAAATCTATCACTAAAAAAAGTAAGGCTAATAAGATTTATTTTATTTTATTTTATTTTTGAGACAGGGTCTCACTCTGTTGCCCAGGCTGGAGTACAGTGACGCGATCACAGCTCACTGCAGCCTCAACTTCCCAAACTCACATGATCCTCCCACCTCAGCCTCCTGAGTAGCTGGGACTATAGGTGTAGTAGCTGGGACCATCATGCCTGGCTAATTTTTGTATTTTTTACAGAGACAAGGTTTTGCCATGTCACGCAGGCTGGTCTTGAACTCCTGGGCTCAAGCGATCTGCCCACCTCGGCTGGCCTCCCAAAGTGCTAGGATTATAGATGTGAGTCACTGCACCTGGCCTAAAATACATTCGCATGACTAAAGCATTACAGAATTTAGCCAGATGAAGTGACTCACCTATAATCCCAGCTACTCTGGAGGCTGAGGCAGAAGAATTGCTTGAGGTCAAGAGTTTGAGACCAGCCTGGGCAACATAGTGAGACCTTGTCTCAATCAATCAATCAGTAAGTATTACAGGATTCCATCATTTTTTTCACACTTATTATTTGCATGATTATGTAACATGAGACAGAAATAGAGATTATCACATTTCCAAAAGCTTTTGTAATGTCTTTTCAGACTCCGCATAAATTGTATTGAAATAACCTGACATGATTTTAGTAGGTTTATTAAGAAAAATTTTTGTTCATTGTACAAGATATGGAAGATGCAAAATAATTTAAGGACAGTGAACCTAAAATGCCACCTCTTTTGAAAACTGCTTTTAATATTTGTTATATTTCCTTCTACTCCTTTGTTTACGTGCCTTGTAGATTTTAAGTGCCTCCATAAAAATTTGTCTGCAAAACATTGCATTCTAAGGGGCTTTTCTTTCTGAGTTTTGGTTAAGTATATTGCAAGTGTCTGCTTTTTTGGTCCATTCCTTGTTGGTACTGCCACCTACTGGTAAAATCAGTAAAATCGGCAAGCCTTTGGATGTGGTTTTAGTGGGTTTTCTCTGCTTAAGACAGTTTGTATGGAGAAGAGCGTCACAACCTAAGAAACAGAGTCAGGGGAGACCAGGCGTCTTTGGCAGGACTGCCAAAGGGGTGAAGAGTTTATGGAGAGATCTGTGTTATCAGAGGCCAGGATGGATGAATTCCTACCATCTCACTGTGGTGGAGAGAACCGCGTGAGCATGAATGAATTAGCTGAAAGTAGAGTCGAGACCAAAACCCGTCTTGGCTCTACCTTTAGAACCTTGAATAAGTCCCTTCATCTCTCTAGACCTCAGTTGCCTCATCTGTTAATAAGGGACTTCAACCAGATGTCCTCCAAGGTGCTGTCCAGCACTGAGGAATGATAAATAGGCTGACATTCATACTTTACCCCATCAGCCCTTACCCATGCTAGGTGTTGCTCATTTATCCCAGCACTGTCCCATGGGGAATGTGGACTTAGCTCAGAATCCTTTTGAAAATAGTGCTGCAGGCTAGAAGCCACTATTCTCAGCAAACTAACGCAGGAACAGAAAACCAAATACTGCATGTCCTCACTTAGAAGTGGAAGCCGAATGATGAGAACACATGAACATATGGAGGGAAACAACACACACTGGGGCCTGTCACAGGGTGGGAGGTGGGGTGAGGGCAGCATCAGGACGAGTAACTAGTGGATGCCGGGCTTCATACCTAGGGATGGGATGATCTGTGCAGCAAACCACCATGACACATGTTTACCTGTTTAACAAACCTGCACATCCTGCACATGTACCCCAGAACTTAAAAGCTGAAGGAAAAAAAAGAAAATAATGCTCCAGGCTGCCACCTGCGGCTGATGGGAGTCAGCACCCAATTTCCAATCTATTTATGATCTCCCCTTTTGCTTTTTGATAACCAACCTTTGGATTTGGTTATGAAGATGTGAAGAACGGCCTTTCACAGATGCAGAGAGATTAGATGTCCAGTTATTATAACATATTAGGGTTTTTTCAAATTATTAAAATAATACAGATTTACTGTAGAAAATACAGAAAAATACAAAGAAAGTTAAAAGCATCTAGCAAAACTCACCATTAAAATTTTGTTACATTTTCTTCTGGTTACTTTTATTCATACACATATACATATTTATTCCATTTTTAACAAAAGCAGGATAATGCTTTTATAAAACTTTTTTCTTACTCATGAGCGTTTTCATGTATTATTTCATCAAAAACACACTTGTTGAAAGTCCTGCGGTGAAGAAAGTGGGAAGAAAATAGCAAAACTTTGAAAATGTTAGAGAGAGCCCTCACATCCTGTAGTTTCTGTTCAGACAGCAGCTGTCCCTGCCCTCCCCCTCTGCTATCCCTAAGACCACCAGACTAGAGTCCCCAGCCTCTGATTTCATGTAAGTTAAAGACCCATAAGTAGATTTAAAAGTGCATTATTGGCCAGGTGCGGTGGCTTACACCTGTAATCCCAGCACTTTGGGAGGCCAAGGCGGGCGGATCATGAGGTCAGGAGATAGAGACCATCCTGGCTAACACAGTGAAACCCCATCTCTACTAAAAATACAAAAACTTAGCCGGGCGTGGTGGTGGACACCTGTAGTCCCAGCTACTCCGGAGGCTAAGGCAGGAGAATAGTGTGAACCCAGGAGGCGGAGCTTGCAGTGAGCTGAGATTGCGCCACTGTACTCCAGCCTGGGCGACAGAGCGTGACTCCGTCTAAAAAAAAAAAGTGCATTATTGTTCATGACACATGCCTGGAGGACCATCAGCTAGTATAATAAATATGGATGAGTTAAATTTACTGCTGCCTCCTTCCTGCACAGACATGTGGTGGGGACAAATAAGACTTAGCTCGGCTGGGCGCCGTGGCTCACGCCTGTAATCCCAGCACTTTGGGAGGCTGAGGCAGGCGAATCATGCGGTCAGGAGTTTGAGACCAGCCTGGCCAACATGGTGAAACCCCATCTCTACTAAAAATACAAAAACTTAGCTGGGCGTGGTGGTGGACACCTGTAGTCCCAGCTACTCCGGAGGCTAAGGCAGGAGAATAGTGTGAACCCAGGAGGCGGAGCTTGCAGTGAGCCGAGATTGCGCCACTGTACTCCAGCCTGGGCGACAGAGCGTGACTCCGTCTAAAAAAAAAAAAAAAAAATACTTAGCTCATGGAAGACTTGTTAACAAGATGCTAAAATTAATACTAACAGTGTAGCATGCAAAGTAGTGAGATGTAGTTTTTCACCTATGACATTGACAATGATGAAGAATTATAATAATTAATGTTTCTAAGAGTAGAGAGAAACAACTC